GCCTGCCACCATCTCAGGCAGGGGGCAGGTTGATTTTTATACCACACACAGCAGTTTGCCTCTGGCAAAGGCGCAAACAGAGAGAGATGGATCTATGCATGGCCTTTTACGGTCTTCTCAAAATCTCTCTGGAAACCCATGGTTTGCTGCCTTGATTGGCAGCTGACCTGGGAGCTCTCAGGCTTCTGCTGCTCTGCTGGGTGCAGGCAGGAGGGAGGGAGCAGGGCAGGGGCAGTGCAGTGAAGGGAGAACAAACGAACCTCAGTGACTGGCCCCAGGCCCCAGAGCAGAGGGCGGTGGCAGCCCACGACCTGGGACAGCAGTGCCAGGAGAGGGAAAGAGTTCGGTTTGGGATGCTCTGAAAACGTGAGAGCCAAATGCACAGGGCTCCTGACGAAGGGGGTCAGACAGTCCACACATAGGAAGACAGGGGTGCCAGGCCCCATGCTGCCTGACACAGCTGCAGGCTCTCAGCCTGTCTGGGTCTTTGTTCCTCATCCATGAAATGGGATGATGATGATAGCTCTGTCACAGGGTGGCAGTGAGGACTGGGTGAGGGACAGTGCCAAGAAGCGTGGCCCTGGGCCTAGCACTTACCATGCTCAGGCCAAGACCCACCTCAGAACCCAGCATCTGACAAAGAGAAGGCAAACCCCAGTAAAGTGCCCAGCAAATAGCCGAAAGCCAGACATGAGCGCCCAACCAAGTACAGAAAGAGAGAGGGACTGGGAAGGGTTGTGTGGTGACTGTCCAAATGGGGATGCTGCACACAAGCTGCACCTTCATTTAGAACAGACATTTAGTTAGTGTGTCCTGTGCGCAGGTTTCATGCTGGTGTTGGGGACAACGTGACTGACAAGACACCGGGGTGTACAGGCCAGAGGAGCGTCAGAAGACACTGTGTACTCTGAGGTTTGAACTGAGGATGGAAACCCATTTCCGGCCAGGTGAGAATAGACATTTGGAACTGCCCAGCGAAAAAGCCATGGAGCTGGGGAACATGATGAGCTCTGGCTTTGCTGCTAGGTTGCTGATGTGGGCCACAGCCCACACTCTGGTACCCTGGGGGTGCAGGCACACAGCGTCTTCCCCCAACAGGCACGGCACTAACACAGAAATAACCACTAGGACCAAACGTTGTGGCAGACCTCAACACTTGCCCAGCTTTGTCCACACCTGCCACAATTGCCCCACTCCTCCTGTCCACCGGACCTCCTTCCTCCGTCTGCATGTCCTGGGCTCAAAGGACATGATCGTCCTGTACACACAGCAGCTCCCACCAACACTGATCCCCAAAGGAGCAGACGGAGAGAGATGGAGTTAAGCCTATTCTCGAGTCTTCCAAGGCGTGGGCATATCCACTACACCGAAACTTCCTGTTGACCCTTGTTGTGAAGATCTGTGAGAGCCAAGGTGTAGTGGGCACAACAGTCTTAATGAGGACCTTCGCCACCCTTGGAAAAACAGGACGGGCTGTGCACCAGGGTTTCCCCAGCTCATTGCCTCAGGGAACAGCCTTGGAGCAGAGTCACACCTGGCAGTGCACTTGGGAGCAGAAGCTGCTCATGGAACGCTCTGCCTTCTTCCTGCCAGCTCCCACAACCCAGGCTCCTTATTGCTTATGTTCTGGAGCATATTTCCCCAGCAGATGGCCCAGTGGAACCTCTACACAAAGTGTTCTGCTCTGTCGAGGAGAGCATAGACACTCCTCTAAAATCACTGCTGTGTATTAAGAAAAGGGAAAGCAAACCTCCTGAGAGGAAGGTCTCCAAATCTACGGAAACTGATAAGCACAATGCACATTAGCATCACCAGACTTCAAGAGCCACTCTGGGCTCCCGCAGGGATCAGCACCTTGTCACATGTGGCTCATCACTACTTTAGGTGCCAGCACTGGAAAAGGCCGTTTTGATGACTCACATGTTTATGAAGCTAGGGAGAGCAACATGCACTCACGTACATGTCTGAGGAACAAGCTAGACAAGACTTCAGTGTGGGTTAGTCATCTGAGTGGCCCAAGGAAAGGGGTTTGGTTACACACCTGTCACTAGTGGGGACCTCCTTGCCTTAGGTCAGCTGCTCCTAGTCAGAAGAACCATGAAACTTTAGGCTGAAAATAATAAGACTAAAAACATGCTAAGGGATTTTAACAACACTGGGGGGGGGGGGGAATAGCATGTATATCCTTTGTAAGAGGATCAGAAATGTAACAAAAAAACCCTGAATATTACAACTTTTTAAAAAAGCATTTTATTTTTTTACTTTTAGACAGAGGAGAAGGGAAGAGAAAGAGAGAGAGAAACATCGATCAGTTGCCTCTCACACACCTCCAACTGGGGATTTGGCCCATAACCCACACATGTGCCCTGACTAGGAATCGAACCAGTGGCCCTTCAGTTACATGCTAGCAATAAATCCACTGAGCCACATCAGCCAGGGCATGAATATTACAATTTTTTTAAAGGAAAAATTCCCATACTGCTGAATCCTGAGAACCAGCTGCTCCAGAGCTTCGAAAACCCCAACAGTTTCCCTTAGGAAGCCTTTGGAGGAGCAGAAAGTACACTGATGTCCACTAACTCCACTCTGATAAAAAACAGTTGGCCCTGAGATCAGTGAGCTGATGCCCTGACCACAAAGACCCACTCCTCATATCGCACACATCTCAACATCAAGGGCCCTAGACACAGGGGCCAGGTACTCTGCCTTCTCTGCTTAATGCCATGGGGAACGTGCAGTAATCTGTGAGTGTGCCCTGGCCCTAACAGTACATGGAACCTTTCTAAGAGTGGCTTCTTCTCCATTTCTGGCAGATGTTCCTCAGTAGGACCAAACATCTCCACTATCTCAGGCAGGTCTCTATGTTTTACTCAGTCAGCATGTCATGGGAAGTGTGGCAATGCACTGCAATTTGACAGAGGAGACAGAAAGTGGTTCCTATCTCTCCAGCTAGGCTCTGTGTTCCCTGAATGCTCAATGCCCCCAGCTGGAGTACCTGATGGTGAGGCTAAGCTGACCCTCAGAAGGGCAAATCTTTGTCCCAGGAAAATACGCCCCTGAAGAGCTCAACCTCTCTCACACTCTTCTCACACACCACCAGCAGCCCAGAAGCAAGACTCCAGGAAGCAACACTACCACTGGAAAAGCAACTCAACCACCCACTGTCTGAGTCAGGAGGGGCACTTTGGCCAGTAGCTGCCAAGTGTCCTTTAAGGTGGCAGTGGCTGGTAGAAGGGCCTGCTAAAGCCCCCAGAAAAGCCCTCCCTCTCACACCCTTGGTTGGCCTCACACTTTCCCCCCCTCACCTAAAAACAAACCCAGAGTTCCTCCTTTCTTGCCCTTCCAGACGTCTTCTCTCAGCTAGGGTTGAAAGCACTTACTCTGGGAGGTGGCACAGCATGAATCTGACACAGTTGCCCAACACTGAAGCTGTTACAGCAGGAAGGGCATACAGCCAGTCCAGGTAATCCAACAACCTTGACAAGTCCTAAATCGAAAGGGTCAGAAAAGCTGCGTCCACACTCTCAGCTGCCCAAAGGCAAGCAATTTAGCAAAGAGCAAATGCTCAGAGCAGTCAGACAGGACTGACAAGAGCCCAAGAAACAAAGCAACAAAGAGCGTGGAGAGCAAGCATTTGAAGTAAAATCAGTGAGACAAGACAGAACTTCCAGAAGCACAAAAGATCCTTGGAGATACTAGACACTGACATACTATAGGCAGAGTCCCTGGGTCTCCTGAGGAAAACATCCTGTGTGGCCTGCAAAAAGTGCCCCATCACAGAGTGGGGATAGCTTCTTGACCAACGTAACTATTATTTTCACATTAAATATGTACATTAAGGGTAGCTCAGACAAGTGCTGGTGATGTGTACTTTTAGCCATGCAACAAGAAATTTTAATCCTCACCGAAGGATATGTTTTTTATTGATTTTTTTTCCCAGAGAGAGAGAGAGAAACACTGATGTGAGAAAACAGATCAGCTGTCTCCTGTTTGATTCCGACAAGGGATCAAACCCACAACCTAGGTATGTGCCCTGACCGGGAATCGAACCCTCAACCTTTTGGGTGTGCAGGATGATGCTCCAACCAGCTAAGCCACCTGGCTAGGGCACAACAAGAAATTTTTTTTTTTAAATTTTAATAACACCATGAATGAGGTGTTTTCTTCCGGCACAAGGTGTTGATTCCCCAAGCACTAAGTAAACATTTCAGGGGAAAAGCCTGCCTGAGTCCGACACCCCCATCTGTGCACACCTGCCACAGGGTCGTGGGAAAACCCTGGCCATACCTGGGACACCCTGTCATAGGTTCTCTACCTGGACCCCAAAGAACCATGGCTGCCATGAGACTACTGGATGCTCCCTCTCAGGTACATCCTTCCTCCAGCTCCTGAACAACATTTTCTTAATACACTTCTTAGGTTGGTGGTCACCCAGCAGCCACCAAGCTACTCTGCGATGAAAACCCGTTTCCAGAAAACTCGCAGCAGAATCTCTACCTCCCATTAAGCCATTAGCCTCTAAAAAGGCCTGTAGCCTTCGAGCTGATAATTCAAAGTGCCAAGCTGATTATACAGAATCCAGCTGCTTTTTCCCAGCCTCAGGCCTGCATTAGAGTTGAAAATAGTGAGAAAGAAAACAGATTGCAAATTGCCACAGGCCTGCTCCCTGCCATGCAGTGTTAGGCTTTAACCACAGTGAATAGATGAAGAAAGGCAAGGCGCTGATCCTTGGCTCCTAATTGCAGTCTAACCGGGTAGGGCGAATGGCTGGTTGGCGCAGCTCTCATTACAGACCCGATGTGACAGGAGGTGGCAGCTCAGGTCCACCGGGAGAGGCGCCTCCCAGACCAGCTAACTGTGAGGACTGCGTAGTGCTCAAGGCGCTTCCGAGTAGCCCTGGGCCCAGCAGGGCTCTCCCTGCCAGCAAGCGCCCTGCGCCCTTCCCGGGAGGGGACGGGGAGCGGCTCCCCGAGGACAGGCCAGCGACGGGGCCTCCTTACCGTTGCTGTAGGCGTATGGGGATTCGGCCGCGCCGTCCTGTAGGCTCTCCAGGATCTCGCCCTTGCCCACATCGCTGTCGCCCACCAGCAGGAACTTGAGCAGGTAGTCATAGCTCTTGACCGGGCTGCCCTGCGTCCCCATCCTCGCTCACGCGCGCGCAGGCCGCACCCGCATGCCCACGGCGCCAGCCGCGGGAGCACGGCGCGGAGGAGGCCTCTGACCGACCTGAGGGGACCAGGCGTGAGTGAGCGGGGGCCGTCGAGGCCCGCTCCGCGAGGGCCCGATTGCCCCCGACTGCCGCACCGACTGCCCGGGGCCAAGCGCCCGCCGCCCGCACCTGCTCCGCCTCCCGCCTCACCTAAGCGCTGCCACCGCCCCGCCGCTTCCCGCACCGCGCCGCGCAGCCCTGCCTCGCCCCCAGAACACTCGCCGCCATTGGCTGTCCACCGCCTACCTGCCCCCACCCATTGGCGAGCGAGCACGTCCTTCGCGTCGGCCCGCCCCCACCGTTTCCCACACAGCGCCGCAAAGCCTCCGATAGCCCCGCCCCATCACCGCCCCATTCCGCCTCTCTGGGATCGCAATTAGTCGCCCACCGCCCCTTTCTTGAGATCACTGGCCGCTCCGCACGTCCGTCATGACTGCCCGCCCCCACACTGTTCTCCACACAGCTTTGCGGAGATTCCAGCCGCCTAGCCCTGTCGCCGTCTCTGTTGGCCACTCGCCCCTCGCTTTCCCAGAACCATTGGTCCGCCTGCACGTCAGTCAGCACCACTAGAGCCTCGGAACGTCCCGGAGCCACCCACAGCCCCGCCCACTGCCCCCACAAATCTTGAGTCCTAGCCCGTCCCACCCCTCCCCGTCGCCATTGGCCACCGCCGCCGACCCTCCCAGAGCCATTGGGTCATCAGCACGTCGATCACAGCCCTCTAAGCCCATCTCTGGCTTCCCACCGCCTTCCCTATACGCTTACCAATCAGGAGCTTGTAACTCCAGGTTGTTTGCATACGCCCCTTTCCTTCCCGTGGAGGGGAGCTGGATGGTGGCTCTCCCCGTGGTGCTGCGACACAGCTAGGTCCGGGAGGACTAAACCCCCTCGTAAGCTGCGGCCCGCTGCTTCCGCAGAGATCCCAGAGAGCGCAGGGTGGCCCTCCTGGAACTGCGCTTGCGGAAGCCGCCCTCCCACGACGGGGGCGTGACCCGGGAGTGGCGGGGCAAAGGCGGCCAATCGGCGCTGGGGTTCCGGGAGAGACGGGACTTTCGCTTGCAGAAGGAGGCGGGGCTGAGGGGGCTGTGGCTGGGTCGCGGCTGTAGCCGCGGTCTCTCCGAGCTAGTTAAGCGAGCATCCCGCGGGGTGCAGACCGGGGCTTATGCCCTTCGCCCTGGGGAAGGCCGTAGGTCACAGCGCGTGGCTGTGAAGTCCTAACGTTCTAGAACCACGGCAGTTCCGCGGACGGGTGATGAGATGATGGCAGCAGAGGCTTCCAGCGGCGGAGTGATAGGGCTCTGCCCCTAAGTGCCCCCGGCAGAGTCTAGATGCCCAGCCGAGTCTGAGTCAGGCTAGGTGAGGGGATTCAGACGGGCCCACTACTCGGGTCAGGACGTGGGGCTCTGAGGCTTGACCACGGAGGCCTCCAGGAGGAAGTAACTTGGGGTTGTTTACAGGATGCATGGGTTATTTTTCTTTTCTTCTTTGGTATATTTTATTAATTATGCTATTACAATTGTCCCAATTTTTCCCCCTTTGCCCCCTTCCGCCTGGTAGCCCTCTTTCCTCCAGCAATGCTCCCTATTAGTTAATGTCCATGGGTCGTGCTTATAAGTTCTTTGGCTTTTCCATTTCCTATACTGTTCTTAACCTCCCCCCGTTTATTTGTACCTATCAATTATGCCTCATTTCCTGTACCTTTTCCCCCATTCTTCCACTTCCCCCCCGCACTGATAACCCTCCAAATGATCTCCATACCTATGATTCTGTTCCTATTCTAGTTATTTGCTTAGTTTTTTAGATTCAGTTGTTGATAGTTGTGAGTTTATTGTCATTTTAATGTCCATAGTTTTGATCTTTCCTTTCTTAAATAAGTCCCTTTAACATTTCATGTAATAATGGCTTGATGATGAACTCCTTTAGATTTACTTTGTCTCGGAAGCACTTTATCTGCCCTTCGATTCTAAGTGGTAGCTTTGCTGGATAGAATAATCTTAGCTGTAGATCCTTGCTTTTCATCACTTTGAATACTTCTTTCCAGTCCCTTCTTGCCTGTAAAAGTTTCTTTTGAGAAATCAACTGACAAGTCTTATGGGCTTTGTAGGTAACTCTCTGCTTTTCTCTTGCTGCTTTTAAGATACTCTCTTTATCTTTAACCTTTGACATTTTAATTATGGTGTCTCTTAATGTGGTCCTTTTTTGAGTTCAGCTTGTTTGGGATTCTCTGTGCTTCCTGGACTTGTATGTCTATTTCCTCCACCAAGTTAGGGAAGTTTTCCATTATTTCTTCAAGAAAGTTTCATTTCTTGCTCTTCCTCTTCTCCTTCTGGCATCCCTATGATTTAGATGTTGGTATGTTTGGAAATGTCCCAGAGGCTGCTTATTCTCTCATTTTTTTGAATTCTTGTTTCTTCGTTCTGTTCTTCTGGTTGCTTGTTTATTTCTTCCTTATGTTCCAAATCATTGACTTGAATCCTGGCTTCCTTCCCTTCACTGTTGGTTCCCTGTGGAATTTTCTTTATTGCACTTAGTGTAGTCTTCATTTCTTCTCTTATGTTTTTGCCGTACTCAGTGAGTTCTCTGAGCATCCTTATCACCAGTGTTTTGAACTCTGTTTCTGATATGTGGGCTACCTCCGTTTCGCTTAGTTCTTTTTCTGGGGTTTTGTTCTATTCTTTCATTTGGGTCATATTTCTTTGTCTCCTCAATTTGGCAGCCTCTGTGTTTCTGTGTTATTAGGTAGAGCTGCTTTGACTCCTGTCTTAGTCCACCTGTTAAATTGCATGGGGCAGAGCCTTAGGTATTCACTAGGGCCTGGCAACCCGCTTCACCACTATGTGGGGGAGGAGTTGGAGAAGGGACAATGCCATTGTCTGGCTGCTGGAGGCTTGCTTGGCACTCACTCTGTTTCCAGTCACTTCACCCTCTTTCCGTATGTGACTGTCACCCTTCTAGCTGCTATCCCAGTGGTGGTTCCCAGAGTGGGTGGGTTTGTGTAAATTCTAGGATCACATGGGCCCTTTAAATGAACTTTCCTGAGAGACTGGCAGTTCCTTCCACTGCCCTAACCGTCTCTAGTTGTTATAGCCAGAAGTTATGAGGCTTTGTTTTCCAGTGCTGGAATCCTGGGTTATGCAGTCTGGCCTGGAGCTGGGCTGGGATCACTCACTCCCAACGTGTCCCTTCCAGTTTTTACCGACCACATGTGAATGTGGGACCACCTCATCCACCACCGGCTGCCACCTCACCACCGCCACCACACCACTTCCTCTCCACCCTGGCTACCCATCTCCCTCCTACTCTTCTGGATGAATATGGCTTCTTTAAATCCTTGGTTGTCAGACTTCCATACAGTTTGATTTTCTGGCAGTTCTGAGTATTTTTTTGTTTTGAGGTTAGTTGTGATCCTTCTTATGACTTTGCAAAGAGGCAAAGCATGTCTACCTGCGCCTCCATCTTGACTGGAAGCCAGGGTTACTTTTCTTAATGGACAAAGAAGTATGAAAAGCCTGTGAACATGTGTGAAGATAAGTTTCACCCTGCGAAATGGAAATTAAAGCAAAATATTACTCTTTCCACCCACCAGATTGGCACAATCTCTTATGGGCCAGGATGTGGGGAACAGCTCTCAGGGAGGTAGGTTGGACTGGCTAATAATCCCACATCTAATTTAGCATGGAGGAGTCCTCGGAAAGGAGCTCAAAGAATTTCATTGCAGCATTGTAGTGATGGTGAAAGTCAGGAAACGGACAGGGAGCTATTAAAGTGGTGAGCAACATAAGGTACAGACAGCACCTACATGAGAAGAAAATAGATCAATGGATAAACAAAATGTGGTATATCCACACAATGACTATATTCATCCATAAAAAGGAATGAAATACTGTTAAGTGCTACATTCCACTTATATGAAACTTCCAGAATGGGCAAATCCAGAGACAGAGAGTAGATCAATGGTTCCCAGGGCCTGGGGTAGGGAGAAATGGTGACTGACCGCTTAAGGAGTATGGGTTTCTTTCTGGGGTGATAAAAATGTTCTAAAATTGGTGATGGTCATACTACTTGGTAAAGTTACTACAAATTATTCAATTGTGCACTCAAAACGGGTGAATTTTATGATATGTAAAATATGCCCTCAATATAGCTGTTTTAAAAAAAAAAAAAAGTTGTCAAAATGGAGCCAAATGCAGCCCTTACTAGACCAGGCACAGAGAGGTGTGTGCTAGGAAGAAGCCACATAATAGTTAGGGCTTCCTAAAAATCAGATCTGTACAAAAGGAACAATACAGCAACCAGGCCCCCCGTGTGCTGCATCGAGGGCAGCCTGGCTGGCATGTCCTTCCAGCAGATGAGGAATGGGCAGTAAGAACTTTCCTTCCTAGGGGTCACTGCATCCGTACCATGCCTTCAGTAGAAGGTGGTCTTCACAGAGAGCAAACCCCTTCATGGGCAGCATCACAGAGTGACCTCCCCTCCTAAAGCTGAAGACCGCGTTTACGGGACAGCGAGCCACACGGATACTACCTTTTCATTTTGGCATGCCTGGGGAGACTTCTTAAGGAGTAAATCCCTTTGTTAGATGGACAGAACCTGATGAGTTCCTGGGCCTTCCTCACCTGCCTTCGGAGAGAGCCGATCCAGTTGTCCTACAGGCGCTCTGGGGAAGCAGCACGCTGGGACACGAGGGCTAGCCAGGGATTCCACTAGGAATCTCAGTGGTCCTGCTTGTGCATTTCCTCAGGCCATGTCCCCTCCCCCAGGAATGGCTGTTCCCTGGAGGCTGGATTACAGCAGACATGTTTACAGAAGAGGTACACCCGCCCACCCACAACACACAATGTTTACAGAAACAGCCAGCAGGCAGTCTTGCTGGCCCTCAGCTAGTCAGGGGTGGGGGACTGAGTCCCCAGAGAGGCTGACTGAGTGGTGACTGGTGCAGCACAGGGGAGCCAGCAGCTTGTGCTTGCTCACCCTTGAATCTCCACCTGGCAGGTCAGGGAGGTTCTTTGGGGTCATGAGGTCAGGGGTCTCTATGCCCAGTCTCGAGCCTGCCTCTGTCATGGTCCTGCTCACTCCCTGTTCTAAAGTCACCCAGTCCCCTCTCCAGGGGAAGCACTGTGGGGTTAACTTTTTTTTTCTTTTTATTCTCACACAAGGACTTCTTTTTCTCCCATTGCTCTTAGAGGGGAAGGGAGAAAGGGAGAGAAACATTGATGCAAGAAACATCAATGTGAGAAACATCCATTGACTGCCCCTTTCACACGTCCAACCCCAGTCATGTGGCATGACTGGGAATCAAACCCGTGACCCTTTGGTCCTTGGGAGGAAGCTCCAACCAATGGAGCCACACCGGCCAGGGCAGCATGCACGTTTTCTGACTGGGCTTTTCCCAGCATGGCCTGTGGAGCAGGCGCAACCATCCCTGCTTTGTAGGTTGGGAGCCTGCCCACAGGGTATGATTCTGGGAGCAGGATTAGGTGACCCCATCAGGGGCTTCTGGTTCTTTGCTGGGATCCTATATCTCAGACACCCAGCCGCAGAGCAAAAAGGTGCCACAGGAAACCATAGGGTCTGAGGCAGCAGGCCCAGTTGAGGAAGGATTACCAGAGGAATGCCACTCCCTGGTGTCCAGGCCTTGGGGACAGAATTGCTGGCTTCCCACTCAGCAGCATACCCTTGTGCAAGGATGTCCTGGGGCTGAGTGCCTGGCCTGGCCTGGCCTGGCCTGGGGACTGACAAAGGGACAAGACAGCACTCTAGCCCCCGAGGGACCAAGGACGAAGCAGCTCACATAGCCTTCTGCTTGCAGGTCCTGGGCCGGCCCTGCTGAGGCACTGCATGTTAGGTGGTTGAGGAGGCCCGGGAACTGTCTCCCTTGTGGTTCCCACACCCACTGGCTCTGGGCAGGATGGGGACAGGCTTCTAGACCCAGCCACTATTCAGGTATGTAGTGGGGGTACAAGAGGAAAGGTCTGGGGTATCTTTGCCCCTTCCCTCCAGGGGACCCACTGTCCTTTATCCTGTACCCCAAGCGCTCCCCTCTGAGAAATATCTGGGGTTTAACCAATGGGGCAAATGGACCTTGGCCCTGAAGCTCTGGACAGAGGCTCTCTGGGAGCACCCACAAAGGTTTCAGTTGCTCCGGACATCCTGGTCCAGGTTTGGTGTCATGGAGAGGTCCCACTGAAGTCCCACAGGTGGATGGAGCCAGAAACCTCTCTGTGTATGTCTGGCAAGAACCAGGCCTGGCACCAGAGCTGTCACTCAGGAAATGGGCAGGCAGCCCAGAACCTGACACAGAGGGTCATAGCTGTCAGGCTGACCTGTGACATGGCCACCATCTTGTAGTGGTCCAGGCCAAGCAGCAGGACCCTCACCTGACGGGAGCCACAACAGGAGGGGTACAGGGCAAAAGTGAGCAAAGGATGAGCCGGCTGGCCAGGGAGAGTGGGGAGAGAATTCTTCAAATTCTAGAAATACAGGCGTGGAGGTCATTCTCAGCAGGCGCTGGAGGCACAGTCCCTGCCCACCAGAACCCACGGGGGCCCACTGGGGGTGGAGGTGCAGGGCTGGAAGTTGCTGAGTGACTTCTCTGGGCCAGCTCCTCCCTACACAGTCAGGACAACAGATGCAGAGGAGGCCACCCGAATATTCCTGGAGGCTGTAGGACAGTCAGGGAGTGCCTGTGTAGAGCCCTTGAGTTTCAGGTGATGACATATTCATCAGAGCCAGGAGTGTGGCTCACCCTCAACAGCAGGGGGGCCTGCACCCTTGACCTGGGGGGGCCCCCCCCATGCAAGGGCAAGGCTGAAACCAGAAAGCAAGTGGTCCTGGGCCCACCCAACCACGCTAGAATATCTTCAAGGGGCCAGAGCCTACAAACCCACCCACCCACTCACCAGAGCTGCAGAGAGGCCCGCTCCAAGAGGGAGGGTGCCCAGTGCCCCCAGTCTTGGCATCACCAGAAAAGATGTGGCAGTCACCTCAGAATAAACAGTGGAGACCAGCTGTCCCACCCCCCCAGGAGAAAGAGGTCCCCCACTCCCACTGCACATGGGGTGATGAAAAGGCAGTGTCACACTCAAACACACGGAAGACTTTAATGTCACAGCAGAGAAAGACAGAGCCAGGACTGGTCCTACCAGATGGTGGGGACTTCCCCAGCAGCCCCGCTCTGTGGTCTGCAGCCCAGGAGTGTGGGAGGCAGAAGTGAACAGTCCTGAGTGCCCACGATGGACAGGGAGCGCCATCCCCACTCCCTGGACTGTGGCACGAAGTTTTCAATTCCAAGGTGACAAACTGCATGGAATGCCACCGTACCTTCAGGCTTCCTCACCCTGGGGACTCAGTGACTCACACTTATACAGATTTTGCAGCCAGCCAGCAGGCAGGTGCAGCCTGAGTGCCAGGACCCTTCCCCAGGGGGACACGGAAGCATCCTCCCAGGAGCTGCCTGATTTGGCAAGAAACTAGTGAGAGGAGATGCGAGATCTGGCCAAGAGAGCTGTTTCTGCAGGAGCATGGAGTGGGAATGGGGCAGGAACTGGGCAGCCAGATGGGCGGGCACTCAGCTTGTAGCAAGGCAGCTCTGAGTACCTCATATAGCCTGGCTTCACATCACACAGGGACTACCAAAGGCCTGTGAGTGGCTCCTCCTGCGTAGCAATTTCCCTAGGAAGCATCAGGAGTAACCCCGTGCAATTTAGGGTGTGGGGGCCACTGCTGCTTGGCTTCCCGGAAGGTCCTGTCTCACTGGGGTTGCTGATTTGGGCCAGGAGTCAGTGGTTGCTTAAATCCCCCATATTGGCTGGTTGCTGTTCCACTGAGGCAGCTTGGATATACTGGGGACCCAGAAGTGTATATGCAGAAAAAAACCCAAGGAATGAGATGTTTGAGAGTCAGGGTCTCAAGAACTGTTGAGAGGCCCCTGGGAGGAGTCCCTCAACCCCAGGGTTGAGCTACCATGGAACATCCAGGGAGACTTGTCAGCTCACCCCACCAGGAAAGGACATGGTGGGCCGAGGTGGGGCTCTGTAAACCCCTCCGAGGCAGAGTCTGGGTCTGAAGGAAGTCAGTGGGCGCTCCTGGGTAGGCCTGGGAGGCTGGAGGGATTGGGCTAATAGTGTCATCATGACAGATTGGAAGTGAGTCCTGAAGCAAACAGGGCTCCTTATAGAGCAGAAGCCAGCTGACCTGGCTGGGCGCCCCCTGCATCCTCCTGCTCACCACCCCATGACCTCAAATTCAACCTCATAATTGGGGGGGATCTGCGACAGGCAGGGCCCGGCAGGGCCTGCAGAGGTCCCAGACGACTCGGGGCAGAAAAGTCAGAGTGCAGGACAATGTGCTGCCTGCCAGTCAACGTCACCCCAGGGTAGAAGGCTGACCGTGGCCATGTAGTGGTGCTGGGCAGGCCGGTGGCTGGCGTCCCTCAGTCCTGTTTGTCCCCTCTCTGCCTCCAGGGGTAGATGAGCTCCCCGAAGAACAGCTTGCGGCACAAGGAGCCCCAGGAGTGCTTAGGGTGGCAGCCACAGCTGGGGAGGCGGTAGGTGTCTACCACACGATAGTAGGGCAGGGGGTTTATCTGAAAAGACAAGGGCAGCAGTCAGCCTCAGCAAAGCCCCCAACTCCCTGGGGCTTGAGGTCTCTGGGCATGGAAAATCCTTGTGGGAAGGTCCCTGGGCTAAACAATTGTGTGACAAAGCCAGCTCTGTGCCAGATGTGCTCTCACCAGTGGTCCATGAGTTGGATGAGCAGCTCAGGAGGGAATGATCTGCTCTGAGCAGGCTACGGGGAGGACTGGGCTGGCAGATGGCAGACCCCTCAGCATCTGACCTCTCCCAGTGATCATCAAGCCAACCCCAACACTGGCACCCAGTGAGTCACCCAGAGGGGGTCACCCGGCAAATAGCCTGCTCCCTTCTGAAGGCCAGGGGCCCCAAGACTGTTCCAGATAAAGGAATCCAACAGAGAACACATCTGTGTCCTGAGACTTTGGCCAAATCTGTGCTACTCTACCAGGAACAAAAGCTCTTTGGACTCAGGGCAGGATTCGGGGACCCAGGGACAAGCAGGCAGGAGCTCTAGGTATTTGACAGTGCAGGGGATTCAGTCCATGGGCTCTTCTGGGGAAGGTTCCAGGCAGAGATGGTCATGGTGCCCTGAGGCCTTGGGGGTGGGAGTCTCCCCTTGGGCTCCACCTGTCAGCTCTGCTGGGCCCTTCTGCTTGTCCCTTACCCTGGGCCCCTGCTGTTCCAAACCCAGGGTGGCAGAGAGGAGCCTGATCCCAGCTGCCCAGAAATGTGATCAGTATCATGGCGGGAGGGTGGGATGTGTCCACAGGCAATAGTGTTACAGGTGCACAGAGGCCTTACCTGCATTAGGAGGCGGAGAGGCCTGCCAGCCTCATGCTCTAGGACTCGAAACTTCACACCGGCTGGAAGGAGAGCAAGGCAAACGCTCTTTGTGAAGGAGGGGCGTGGCCTCCCAGGGCTCCAGAGCCCAGCAGGCAGCCCCCTTTAGTCCTTCTGCTGTGTGTCAGCAGAGGCAGGCATGGACAGAGGGGCTCTGGCAGTGAAGGCCCCTTTGTCTCTGGGTGACATTCAGAGGGCTACCTGGGCTCTTCCGCCCCTCTCACCCTTTCCATCTGCCTCTTTGAATGGGTTGCTGGGCAGATATCAAAGCCTCCTGCACAACTCCACTGAAAGGAAAAGGCTGAATGGCCAGCAGCAAAGAGCAGCTGGGCGGTGGCGCACAGCCTGTGCTGTTTTCCAAACAAGACGGGTTTTCCCACAGAGCCAACGGGCACTTTATAGGTGGCGGCTGTCCTACTGGCATCTAAATCTTCCAAATTCTGTGTGCATGGTTGACTAAAATCCACCACGTCCCTGGCCTGCAGTTTGGACCCCCAAGCCTGGGAATTCCCAGGCTGAAGATTTTTTGAAAAGAGAAATAGGAGCTAATTATCATTTGATGAAGAGGCCCAAGGCAAACTCAGGGAAGAAGAGAGGAGGCAGCGGCATCCGTGGCCTTTCATGTGAAGTTAAAACAACTCTGCTCTGGCAGTGAGCCAGGGTATGGGGGAGGAGGCTGCCGAGTCTCGGGCTCTCCACTTGCATTGTTCTAGCATTCTGAGGTGGGGGTGGAGACGGGGGGTGAGTGAACATGAACAGTAGATGGGTCCCTGGCCTGGCCACTGGTGGGGAGAACGCCTTGGAAAGAGGATTTGAGGGTATTCAGCAGGCAGACTTTAGGCCCAAAGCCCATGGAAAACCATATTCACGCCCTCTGGCTCAGAGCTGGCTGGGAGCAACTACCATGAGCTCTGGGGTGTGCCCCAAGCTGCCCAGTTGCAAACTGGGTGCAGGGCCTCCTGGGCATTGTGATCACCTTGGGGCCATCTGGACAGCTGCTAGATAGGGGCTGTGCTGGAACTCTCCAAGTTCCCTGATATGTTCAAAGCCCCTGCAGCAACCCACAACCTTATGGCCAGTTAGGTGGGCCCCCTGAGGTCTGAAGTAGGGACAGCCTCCAGTTAGGGGCATGTGGCCAACACAGTGGTTAGTGTCAGCATGCAAACAAGCAGCCACCTGCAGAGGGGATGGCCAGAGGCAGCTGGGATGGGGGAATGTTGTCCCAGCAATTACTGGTGTGCTGGGTGCAGAGCGGGAGGGCACTCTTGTCACACAGATCTGGCCCACCCAGTGTCCTCCATCCAGGCCTGTTGCCTCCAGAGTTGAGGGGCACCAGCAGGCACACATAGCCCCATACAACCACACAGGGACACATCTTCTCTGAGCCACATTCAGGTACTACCTACACCACTGTGGACAGACCTCAGGGCAGATATTCACGGTTGTCACAGAAAAAGGTGAAAACAAAGAAAGGTCATCTCTACGGCCTCTGAACCTGAACACCAGCTGAACTCTCTACAGCCAGCTCAGCGCAGGCAACTGGCCCAGCAGATGCCCTGGCACCAGGGGTTTCTGTCTTCCCTGCCTACCCACCCCATGCACACCACCACTTCCAGACAGGAGGCACAGGCGGTGCAGTTGGTGCTTCTCCAGGGCCCACAGGTGTGTGCCTGTCCACCCAGCACGCAGACCTACCTGCGAGTCTGTAGGGTCGGCAGAGCCGGAGGCCGAGTGCATACAGCGGTAAAGAGTTGATAAGATCCACGAGCAGATGGATCAGACCCTGCACAGCAACCACCAGGAGCCGGAGCTGCAGCACAGACAATGCTCAGGGCCTCTGAGCCGGGACCACGGCCAGAACCACACTGGCATGCCCATAAGCAGAGCAGCCTGATGGGTCCTGGGCCACAATGAAGGGAGACCAGAGTCTTGGGAGAGCATGTAAGAGCATGGATCCCACCCTGAGGAGGGCATGAACCTTGTCTGGACCCTGAGGCCCAAGCACAAAGAGGTGAGAGTGGGTGGTCCTCCCATAAGATCAGAGGGGATGGTGCTCTGATCCAGCAAAATGAGTCACTGACATCTCAGCCCAGGCTACCTAGGTGCTGCTCCCCTCCTTCTGTCTGAGCCCCCATCCCCATGCCAGGCACTAGAGGGGAGACCACCACTATGACCCACCCACCATGAGTCCTGCCCTCCCTGTACCCAGCTGAGTGTCCCAGAGCAGTGGGTGGTATTCCTGTAGAGTAAAACCCCTACCCACTCCAGGGCCCAGCATATACTGCCCAGAGAGTCTAGAACAGCCATACCCCACATGGCCTGCAGCAGTGGATGGCTTGCCCAAAACTGCCAGACTGGCAAGCACAGCTAGCAGTGACAGCTCTAAGCACTGTGGGTAAGGCCCCTCAGCTAGGTGTCACACCCAGAGTCCCCCATGGCTCACCAGGGTGAACACCAGGTAGTACAGGGCCGTGGTGGGCAGCAGGAAGACCAGGACGGTGAAGAGCAAAGTCCCAATGAACAACTGCCGGGAGAAGAGGCACCCTCAGCATCAGCTGGAGCTTGCTCATGCTGGGGACAGCCCCACTAGCACTGGCCACACCCCTGCTTCCCGTCCCCACCAAGCCTATCCTATAACTGAGCAGAAACGGGGGACACCTGCTGTTCAGACACTGGCTTTCTGAAACAAATCAGGAAAACCCACTATGACAGCCCGCTCCAGTACTGGGAGGGGAACGACTGCATGCCCTCCAGACTTAGTGACACGTGGGAGATGGGGGAGGGGGAGAGAAGACCAGCCAAACAGGCTGTACAGCCATGTGCACCAAAGATAAAACAGTTGTGAAAATTAGGCAAAAACAAAAACAAAAAATAAACAAAAAAATGTACCTAGGAGAGCACCACTCAGGGTCCATATGTTAGGTCTGAGCAAGCTAACAGGACAAGCCAGAGCCAGGCCCTGTGCCCAGGCCACCTCTAGGCCCCCTTTCTGGGCCATCTTCAGGGCCTACTGCCAAAGTCACTTCTAGTGCCCGCTGACCTGAGGCCCACTGGCCTCTTGAGAGCAGGGTCCACCTTCCGCCTGGAGCAAAGTTCTGCACTGTCTAAGGGCCCCACACTGGCCCTGTCCCTTGCAGACTCCGCTGCAGCAAGTGAGCTTCTGGGCAGGAGAGTGGTTGCCCCCTCATTGTGCCCGAGCAGCTACATGGGTCAGGGCCATTCAGCAGGGTCTGTTGGACTGGAGCTGGGAGGTCACACTGGCCACTTGGGGCTAGGGTGCCGCCTCCCCTGCAGTCCTTTCCAATACCTGGTCCAGGTCGTAAGAGCAGGAGTCCACCCGCTGGCGCAGAACATTCCACTTCTTCCCCCGGAACAGGCGCCAGAGTGAGGACAGGCCACAGATCTTCAGGCAGTAGAGCCTATAGGACACAGGCGCCATCAGGGCCCAGATTGGGCGCTGCACTACCCCATAGCAACTCAGTCCAAGGAGCCTGTCTGTGGTGCCCAGGGCATGGGAGAGCCACACCGGGCCAGCCTGTAGGGGTTGGGAGCACACACCCACCTGGCACCATAGACATAGAAGCAGTAGATGTGGAAGGTGAGGAGGGCGATGATGTCCGACAGGGTGGACAGGGCAACTGTGAGACCCAGGCAGGCTGAGAGGCCCACATGCCACAGGATTCGCTCGATGAAGGGGGACATGAGGTGGATGTAGCCTGGCAGGAGGGGGGGTCAGCCCTGAGTGGGTGCTCAGGAGGTCCTGGTCCCCCCAAGTCCTCACTGAGGATGGTGCCTGAGGTTGCTGGAAAACTGAGTGACAGACTACGCCACTGGCCATCCTTAAGGAGAGCAGCCAGCCTAGCACAGTAGGGCTCCACACACAATGGGCGCAAGGAGGGCAGGACACAGGGACCAAAGGGATGGTTCCCGGTCTGGGCCCCACTGCCCTGCTCAATCAGGGCCTGCATCCCTGGAGCCACACGCTTTAGGAACCAAGTCGGGGGTCCTTGGGAAGTACCTCGTCCCACCCACCCACACCACTCACTGATCCACAAGTGGATGTGGTACAGGAAGAATCGGCCTAACACCTGGTCCAGTGCCCGGTTCATCTTGAGCCCAGCAGGTGCACCCATCAGCCACTGCAGCAGATGCTGGAGCTCCTCAGCCACTCGCTGGGAGAACACAGAGGGGCAAGTTGTCCATAAACTGGGCTAGCCCATCTGCACAGGGCAAAGGTAGACTGCGCTCCCTCCTCCAGGTGTCTAGATTGCCATCTCCTATCATGACGGGCACATGGGGTTTCCCACACTTGTCTGGCCATGGAACCCGTCCTCACAGATGTTGGGGGATGTCAGGTTGAGGCACAACTTTCGACGCTGACAATCGGCTCATGGCCATCTATAGTTAGGTAGCCCCTGATGGGAGTCAACCTCCAAATAAAATGTCCTCTTCCCATCTCACCACTCTGGCCACTAAACCCACAGGAGCCCTTGGCCCTAGGCTCCAGGATGTGGGTCAGGCCCAGGCCCACTTTGAACCTTTCACGGGGAACCCATTATGCCCACCCAGTCTTCCTCCACCAAAGACCCACCCCACCACCTGCCACAGCAGAGGCCTGGGCCTGCCCTGGTGGATGACCTCAGGTGAGGGCGAAGGTGTCATGCCCATCAGGGGCAGAGATAGAAGGGAGGAGGGCAGGAGTGTCCCCTAGAGGGAATTACAGATGGGAGCTCAGAGTCAAGATCAGCATTGAATGAAGGCCAGAGACAGCACAGGGAGCCTCGCAAGCAAGCAGGGAAGCTGACCAGTGTCCTAGCTGCCTCAAGAGCAAAGCCAATATCCGTGCGCCATGCCAGCCCCAGTGGGCAGGCCCTGAGGACTCACAGCCTCATCACTAATGCTGAGGCCACAGGAGTGACATCCCTGCCTCACAGTCAGAGGTCTGCCCCCACCCCCACCCACTCCCCTTGCAGGCCTCTCCCAACCCTGCATGAAGGCTTTAGCCACGTCGGGAGCAATGAGAAGGGGAACAGAACATTCTTTATAAAGAGAGCTTATTTAATATTTAAACGATAAGAGCTTGGCAGCAGGAAGAGGCTTTCATTTTTAAATTAAATATTTATATTTCTGAGCAGTTTTGCAGAAGAGAGGTCTAGGGTGAAGCTGGCCACAGGCAGAGCATAGAGGAGGAGGCAAAGCAGCCAAGCCCCTTTCCCAGCCCCCAGACTCTCCTTCCTCCTTCCTCTCAGCTGGGCCTGTGAGGGCTCCTGTCCAGAGTCTGGCCTGGCCACAAGTAGGCCCAGTAAGCACCAATGGCTGGACACTGTCATGGCCAGTAGGGGTTGAGCCCATATGGGCCACCCAGTCAAGCTTCAGCCACTCAACCACAAGAGGTCCCTGAAGAGGCCTGTGGGTAGCCTGAGAGATCAGAGGGACTGCTCTAAGCAAGAAAACCAGCTCCCAACAGAAGTGACAGGACCTTTGGCTCTGAGGAAGGGAAGCAGAGAAGCTGAATGCAGCAGGTGGACCCTGGAAGAATGATAAGGCAGGGAGGAGGGCAATGGCACCCAGGGCCTGGAATCATTGCCCAGTGTGCAAAGCAAGTACAGGAGCACAGCAGATGAGCTGGTGCCTCTGGCTCTCAGCATGGGAACTGTAGAACCAACGCTGGGAGCGATGTGACCCCTGAAAGGAGGGAGGCCACAGCTCAACTGCACGCAGACACCCCTGGACACATGTATGTTTCCACAATGCTGACTGAGTAGAGGTGTCAAGCCAAAGGCCAGCCAGGAGAGCAGAAAGAGCCATGCACTGAAGGAGGTAATGGGAACAATGTGACACTGGGCTGGGTGGAGGGAGGTGGGCTCCCCATAAAAGCCTCGACCACAGGATGGCTCCCCAGAAACAGCCACCTTCGGGAAGAGAAGGTGGAAGGCAGGAGCAGCAATGTGATAGGAGAGTGGGTGCCTGGCAGACCCAAATCGCTGAAGGTCTCAGGGCCCATGGTAAGGGCTGCTCTTATGGCCACAAAAAGTAGAGGGGAAGAGCTGCTCTGGCTGGTTGAGAGGCCTCTGGTGCCCCCAGAAAGGGCCCCATCCCCACCCCAGGAAACAGGTGCTGGAGTCTAGACCTGGCTTGACCCCATCCAACTCACATCTGCCACAGGTACTAGGGCATCAGCCAGCTGCCCGATTCGGTCTTTCCCATGGAGCCAGGACAACAGCGCGAGGCCTAGGGCCACATCAAGGAGCACGGAGACAAGCATGTTGGCCTTCCTGAAAGGAGGGGTCCAACAGGAGTGGGCGGTGAGGACAGTCTGGCTAGAAAGGATCAGGAAGGATGGGTCTGGTGCAGAGAAGGGGGTAGGGAAGGGGCTTGGCCTATGATGCATCTGGCTGCTGCAGAGAAGACCCAGGGCAGACCCCAAACCTCATCAGCTGGGCGGGGTTCTCGGCCTTCTGGGTGCTGAAGACGAGTGTGAGCTGCTCCAGCCGATGCCTGAGCTGCTCACACGTGGAGAGCTTGCTCCAGATGAAGGACAGTGGCCACAGCTTGAATACCCTGTGAAGGAGCAGAGACAGACAGGCCTTCAGCCCCTCCTGGGGCTCTCCTGGCTGCCAGGGAGCAAGGGCTGCCTCAGTGTTGTCAACAACCCTCACTGTGCAGACAGAAGTACCAGGCCAGGCACAGCCAGAGTCACTGGTGGCTCCAAACACTGACTGACACACCCCTGAACTCAGCAGGGCAGGAACACAGGTTAGAGGGCCCAACGAGCAGTCCAGTGGGACTCATGGTACATTCACGACCATTAACTGGGAGACCAACCATCTCACAAAGTGCTGACCCCAGGCCACCTGTGCCCCAGCAGTGAGAGAATGGGCTGTCTCGTCACCCAGCGCCTTGCTGTGCTAGATAGGCAACCTTCGTCAAGGGTCTCTGGGCTGACCTGGCTGTCCAACAAGACTGATTTCTCACCAGGCAAAGGAAGCACTGAGACGCCTCCAAAGCATTCAAATGTTCAGGGGAGAAGCTCGCTAGCAAAGATGAAGAGAGCGCTGCACTGCCGCTCAGCCGTGCCCAGGGCCCCTTTCCACTCACAACCTTGCTGCCAGCAGGGGACAGAAAGGGCTTGTGCAAAGTGTAGAGCCACTGACCAGCACGCACTTAGATTCTTGGAAGGAAGAGGTCTAGACTTGGAAAAGTTTAAAAGCTTTGTCTCCGACTGAGCAGCTTTAAAACCAATGCCAAGAAATGAAAATGAGAAAGCAAGCAAGCAAGCATTCAGTATACACACCGCACCGCCCCCCCAACTCCAATCAAGTGGCAGGTGGCCTCGCATTGGCTGCACAGAGACTCCTGCCTGCACAGCGGTCTCCCCAATGTTAAGACCAGCCCTGGGCAGCCTAGGCCCCGAAAGCATCCCTGGGCCTGCCTGGGGGAAACAAGGGGGCTCCATTACTGCAGTGACAGCCATGACTCGTATGAATATCCCTGTGCTCATAACCACTACCAGTCATTGACCGACACCTGACGGATGGGCTAGTCCATATTCGGGGCACATGAGCAGTTCTTAACCTTTCTTGGTTCCTTTGAAAGCTGATAAAAGCTAAGAACCTTCTCTCCCCCAAAACTGTACCTAGGCCCAGACATACTTTGACATGCTTCATTCCAAGGGAGTCATGAAGCTCTGAAATCCACCCATCCCCTGCAGTCCCCACAACCCATGGTGTGTCCACACACAGCCGCCAGGCGAGCAAGCAAGACCAGTCCGCGAACCAGGCAACTTGAACCCTGGACCTCAGGAAGGGGGTGCCTGAGGGTGTGGCACAGCTGCTCCCCAGTAGGGAGATGGCATCTCACAGAAAGTGGAGCCCCTACAGCCCAGCCTGAACACCCTGGTGCTGACCCCAGCATTCCCTAGGGCCCTCGGGGGCCTTTGCAAATCCCTTGGCCAAGCCTGTAGCCAGGAGTGTTCCAGGTGACTCTAGAAAGTAGCCAAGGCTGGGGACCACCACCCCATACCCATGGCTGTCAGTGAATGGCTGCGCCCCCACAGCCACCAGGGCTGTCCGTCCTCCTATGGGTGCCAGGGCCAAGGAAGTGGACAGGCCTATGTGGGTTCAGGAGCACAAACAACTCCCGGGCAGGGCAACATCGGCGGTTGGCCAGCAACAACCCTATGTGCCCATCGCCTCATCGCCCTCTCATGGGCTGGAGCCGTCTGAGTTTCACCCAGTACCCCTACCTGGTGGGTCCTACACAAGTGCAGAGGTTGCCAGGAAGCCTGGCTCTTCCTCAGGAGTGAGGGGCACCAGAACAGCCACCACTAGGACACCCTCTGACATACCAGGGGTGGGAGTATGAAAGAGCAGAGGTGTAGGGGGCAGCTATGAACCTCAGAAGGGCTCGTCTGGGCCTCCGCACTGAGGGGGTGGGCCTAGAACTCAGGAGCACTTACCGGCAGGTGCTGGCAGCTGAGATGAATGAGAGCAGGCAGGCCAGCAGTAGGCAGACAGGCCCCGAGGCCTGCTTGGCCAGCTCCACGAGGATGCTGGCTTCCACACCATCTGACTGCCAGTGGCTCAGCCGCACGAGGCCCTCGTCAAATCGGTCACTTCGAAAGAGTGCCTCACTTCGCGCCACTGTGTCAAAGACAGCAGCCAGGCCGCAAGTGCTGGCTGTGGCATCTCCAGCCTGGTGATCAGGCACGGCTGCAGGCGGGTGCAGCTGGGACAGCAGCACCTTGCGCTGGTCGTAGAAGATGAGCATGACCTGGTCCTCCCTGAGGGCACCAGGGGAGGTAGGCACCTGCCGATACATGGCCTTGCAGCTCCAGAACTTGCTGTCCCTCTCCCGGCACAGTTGGAGCCAAGGCTCGTGGGAGAAGATGGCACCCAGGCCTTCTAGGAAGTGGCCTAGGCTCTCCTCAGGCTCCTGCCGACGGTGGCACCAGGTGCCCAGCACGGCCACACCTACTTGGCTGGCCTGCTGCACCTGGGCCAAGAGCTCCTTGACCTGGATGGGGATGAAGGGAAAGTGTACCACAGCCAGGACCACAGCGCTGCTCTGCTCTGGGACCCATCGTCCAACCAGTAGGCCGCTGTCCACCGAGGCGCAGCACGTGGGGAAGAAAGCTTTAAGCACCATGCTGTAGACACTGGAAGAGAGGGGAGTGGCTCAGCTCAGAGCTGTTGCCACCACCACTATGCCTGCCTCCATGACCCCAGGGCGGCTGGAAGCGCTGTGGCTGCAGGCCACAGCCAACATGTGGCACAAACACCCTGAGGAGCACATCCCACGTGGCCACATGGTTGGGGTCACCCAATTTGGGCTTTGGTCATGAAGGTTGATGGGGGGGTCCCTGGCTGTCCATCTCCCATGGGTGCTGCCCTCATTTTGCCCTGGGCTGTTGTAAGCACAGGCCCCCAATCACCCTTCATCCTCACCCCAAGGCAGGTCAGTGCTTTCCCCTATTTCAGGAACAAGCAGGCTGAAACAGGCGTGAGGTTACATGACCTTCTCAGTACCACTCGCAAGAAGTGCGGAGGTGAACAAGAGGTTTTAAAGAAACTGATTAGTTTTTTTATGTGTAGCACATGGAAAAAACATACAGTCTCATTGACAAAAATAACACAAATTAGCCCTGACTAGTGTGGCTCAGTGGATTGAGTGGTGGCCTGCGAACCAAAGGGTCGCCAGTTCAGTTCCCAGTCAGGGCACATGCCTGGGTTGCAGGCCAGGTCCCCAGTAGGGGGCACTTGAGAGGCAACCACACACTGATGTTTCTCTCCCTCTCGTCCCCTCTCTCTAAAAATAAATAAAATCTTTAAAAGAGAAAAGTAATGCAAACTCTGAAAAACCTTGATTTATTTATTAAGCTAGCAAAACTAAAGATGAAAATGTAAACAAATTGCTGCTGAGCTGAAGGAAATCAGACATGGGCACCTTGCTGGTGGCTGTGGACACCAGTAGAGATACCCCAGAAGATACCCAGAAGCATGCCTGGTAACCTAAGGCCGCCTCCCTGCCCAGTGAGCCTCCTAGAGAAGCCTCAGTGCTCAGAGAGCAGGCTCAGCTCACAGGGCTTCTGCCTATACTCTGATCCTCCAGCCTACAGCTGGGACTATCCTGCCCTGGGAGCCCCATTCACATACCCCTTCAGGGCAGGGTTCCCAACAGAGGAGTGTTTCCTCTTGTCACAGCTGAGCACCTCCTTTGGGACGTATTCTTCTAACCAGGTAGCTATCTCCAAGTGGGAGTGGGAGAAGTTCACCAGCCCTGGGACATGAAGAGATACCATCATCTTCTCTCAGGATGAGGGACACCAGCCTTCCTGAACTCTCACTACCCTCACGTAGCCCCTAAGGATTAGGAATCCTCCCAAGCAGCTGCAATTCCTGAATTCTGTGGGATCCTAAGCCTTAACTTGCCCAGAAGTAAGCTCACTGGGGATGAGCGTTTCTCAGCAAGCACCTCATTCTTCCACCTGAGCCCCTCTCAAACGGGGCCAGAGAAGCCGCATGACATCACCCAGCACAGACTGAGGGTACTCATCGTGAGGCACGCCCATCCTCAGACACTGACTGCCACCATACCATCAGCACACAGGGCAGAGCACCACCTTGAGCTAAAATCCCCAAGTTGGAGCCCATACCAGAGGGAGAAACACAGGCCTTGGACTGAGGCTGGGCCTCCAGGCCTCAATGCTCACCAGCCTCTTGGGGACAAGGGGACAGAGAGAGGCACACATGTTGGGGCAGTGTGGCATTGTGGGAGGCAGAGGGAGCCTTGTCCTGGGGATCAGGGGGCACTGGGAAGCCTCACACAGACAGAAATGCCCAGGGCTTCAGAGGCCACTGATGCAGCTGCTTTCCTCCCCCGTGGGTAGCCCAGACTGGGGCTGGAGGGCGAAGGCCTCTCACATCCAGCTTGGAGAAGGGACCTCTCGCAGCTGTAGGTTCCAGCTGAAAAGGGTCCCTCTGAGTCCAGCAGCAGCAGGACTCAGTGACCAGGGGGAGCAGGCAACAGTGGAAGCTGGCAAGCAAAAGCCTGGAGCCTGATAACAGCCTAGGGCCAAATCCATCATCAAGGGCATCCAGGGCCAACTTGTCTTCCTTATCCTTCTTCAGGGACTGTCCTCCTGATGACATCGTGAGAGGAACAGAGCAATTCTGCCTGCAAGGAACCTGGTGCGTCTGGCTTGGCAACTATAATGAGGGCCAGCCAGCACAGTCCAAGCCTCTCAGTGCCAGCCTGTCAGGACATACCAGTTCAGCCAAATGACAGCATCACGCCCTGCTTGGGGACTCCTTTCACAGGAGCTAAGGAAAGCTGTTAATGGCTACTGTTGGAAAAGAAGCACGACTGGCCTAATGACAAACAGATGCTCTGGGGGAAGCTGGTTACAGGATGTTCACTGTGGGCAACTTTGTCGCATTGTACACTTTCTTTGTCCGTGTTATGCTTCATCTACAAAGTTTACTGAAACAAAAGAAAAAAGAAGCAGCTCCTCATGTTTAAGGAACAGCAGAAGGCAGAAGTTGATGTTCTTATCCGTGGGGTAGTGAGAAAGAACTCTTAACAGATTATGGGGCAAATTCCCATTCCTGCTCCCACCTCAGCCTCTGGGAGTGATGAACACAAAGAAGTCTGCTCACATCACACAGACAGAAAGAGATGAAAGAGCAGGCAATCGATAGCAGAGGTGCAGATGGGAGAAAGCAGGGCAGCAACTTAGGCAACGTGCACATCTTTAAAGACTGTGATTTAAAAAAAAAAATTAAAGAGAGAAAAGAAAAACCCCCCAAACCAAGAACATACACCTGGAAAAGCCTCCCCTGTTAAGAAAGACACCAACTTCCCTTATGAAACAACACATTCCCAGGTCAGTCAGGATCTCTGGGACGCCCCTTCCCACTGAGCGAGAGGCCAACAGTATACCTTATTAAGTGGGACGTGTACTTCCCTCTGTCCTCTGCACGAACTGATTCCAAGGCAAAGCCCAGATATAACCCGCCAGGGACATCTCACTGGCTGAAATCCTCCTCTGTGAAGCCTCCCAGTCACTGCTCCTCAATAGCTCACAATAATTAGCTTTTACCCCATGTCGTTTGTGTTTTAAAAAACATTTTTTCCTCATGTTTTGTGAACAGTGCTTTTCCTCCTCTCATTTCAGAAGAATGGACATGAATCTAGGATTCTATGTTTTGCCCTTTACTGCAGTCAGGGACAACTATCAACCGCCTCTGACCCTGAATACCCTTCCAAAGAGGCCACAGCGGGGCCCAAGTTGCGTGGGTCAAAGGAACCCAGCCAGGCGCCCTTCACTCTGCAGGGTGTTGGAGGCAGTCTCCTCACCAAAAGAACCCACGCCACCCTGCCACAAATCCTCCAGGTCTGAGAAAACGCGCCCCTGGGGCAGGAGACGCTGGCGGGGGCGGGGGGGCGGTGTTGGAAGCTGGCGGGGGGCCTCCTAGGTTGCGGGCCGGCCCTGGGCTGTGGCCAGTGGCGGCCCCATTTTACGGATGATGAAACAAAGGCTCCGCGTGGCAAGAGGCGTGCGTCGGCCCAGGGAGGAGGCTCAGGTATACCCATTCGCTCTCCTTCGCCTGAGCCCAGTTCCGCAGCCACCAAGGAGTCGGGGCCCACAGCCGGGTGCCCGTGGCCGGGAGGGGCGGCGCTCCAAGGTCAAACCGCGCGGACGCCGGCCCTCCCCGCGAATGCTCACCGGCTGCTCCCGGGGGAAGCGCGCCCTCGGGCGGCTGGTTCGGGATGGGGTTGGGGACAGCGTTAGGCCGGCACGAGCGGACGACAGCAGTCGCAGCTCCCACCCCAACGGCAGCAGTGCCACGGGACACGAGCCCCATTTCCGCCGGCTCCTAACGTTGCCGCGCGACGGTCCGGCCCCCAAAGGCGCTCGGACTGCCGCCGGCCTTGCCCGAGCGTTCCGCGCACGCAAAGTTCCCGTCCCCGGAGCCCGTGGCCGGCGTGCGCAGCGTTCTTGTCCCTCCAGAGCCGCCTTGTTACCCAACCCCGCAGCGTCCTTGCCCCTCCATGCAAATTTTGTGCTCCCCAGTGTCCTCGTGCCCCCCTCATCGTCCTTGCCGCCCTCCCATCCGCTCTACGCGCAACATCCCCGGCACCCCTGCCTCACAGTCCCTCCACCTTCCCACAGCTGCCAAACCTCCCCGGATTTCCTCCTCTGAAGAACTGGGGCTTTTGAGGGGCCCCCACTCTCCCAGAGTGAAAGGACCCCCAGGCTCTATGTGTGATTCCAGAAAGAGCTGCCTCCCAGCCCCAGGCTGGCCCCTTCCCTTAGCACACTGGTCTCTGTAGAGGCTGCCCTTAGGCCCCATCCCACCCCGCCTTGCTCCAGGGACAGGTGGACTAGGAAGTGGTTGGGCCCTGGGGGGCCAGCCCAGAGGCCTCGGTCACCTGATCATCAGGAGGCCTCCTGGCGCCCCCTGCTCTGGGGAACAATCACCCTAACACCAGCAGCACCAACTATTGAGCACCTACTGCACACGCTTTACACTGACCCATTTAGTCTCCCGTCCACAGGGCTGGGACATATGGAGGGAAACTTATCAGAGGTGAATGACCTGAAAACCACGGACCCCAATGTCCTGGTGATAGACAAGAGCACCCCCTCATCAGCCCTCAGGGACAGGACCAGGCACTGTCCCCTCCTGCTGAAGACCCCTCACTGGGACTAGGAGCCTGGCGAGGCACCAGACACAGTCACCCAACACTTCCCCACCCTTTTGGGGCCTCATTTCCCTGCCTTTTTTTTTTTTTTTTTTAATGTATTTATTGATTTGAGAGAGAGAGGGGGAAGAGGGTGGGGGAGAGAAACATTGATGTGAGAGAGAAACATCGATTTGCTGCCTCCCACATGTGCCCTGACCTGGAATCAAACACACAACCTTTTAATGTATGGGCCTTTCCAATCAGTTGAGCCACACTGGCCAGGGCTCCCTGCTGTTTTTAAGCAGCAGGAGTCTGTCCTCATAGGAAGGCTCTCCTAGACTTGACCACCACCTAGAACCCTCCTAGCACCCCCACCCATGAACTTGGAGCTGTTCAGTCCTGGTTTACAGAGGAGAAAATGAATAATTAGACAGACTGTGAGATAGTCTCACATGAGAAAAGTGGCTAGGACTATGGAAGCTCCCAACCCAGCCATGTGACATCCCAGGGTAGCCCTTCCTCTGCCTCCCCCTTACCTTAGCTAGGCCCAGAAAGGCTGCAAGAGGCTTGGAACCTGGGGTGTTTCTGAGGATGAGGGACTGTGAGGGGCCGCACCCTTGCCCAGGTCACCCAGCCTAGCCTACCCCAGCCCAGCCGCACCCTCTCTGCCTGCCTGTGACTGATTATGAGACTGGGACGGGGGCACTTGGCGGGAGAACCTGCCTGGGTAAGTACTGGCTGCTGGCCTAACACACAAAGATCTCCAGGCTTCAGCTGCTGGCCCCAAAGCTCAGGCCTCCTGGGCCGTGAGCCAGCAGGCCAGGTCCTGAGTGGACATGAGGGCGGTGAGTGCTGGGGCACAGCGAACTGGGGCATGGAGAGGACGCAACTTTGGAGGCTGAGAGGCAGCTGATTTGTGACTTCTGACAAAGTCTGAATTCTTTCCAAGAGGAAGACAGGGTCTGGCCCACTAGGTGCTCAGCAAAATGTGCAGGATCAGGAAGGCATGGCTGGCGGCCCTGGAGGACTCCACCACCCTGAATGCTTTTCTCATGGTGGTCTGGGAACCTGGAGGCTGGACCTACGCACAGTGAGGGGGCTGCTGCGTCTGAGCCCACCTGGTCGGGCCAGATGCAAGTGCTACTGGTGTTACGGGACAGAGGCCTAGCCCTGCGTGGGTCTGCCTAGGGCCTGCTGTAGAGTGTGGGTTCCTGACTTCATGTAGGAAAGACTTCACAACACAAGTCCAAGTGACTGTGCGGATACATTTGTTAAAGCTGGGGACAATGAGTTAAGGAAGGGCTTAGCATAGAAGAAGCAACAGGAGAGCCAAGGCTGGGCTGCCTTAGCTCACTGGGAAGTCAGAGAAAAGGGGGCCTTGGGGACGGGTTCAGGGGGTTACCCTGGGACAAGCTGCCGCTGCCCATTGCCTTAGAGACACGTGCCTGTGGGGGAAGGGGTGGGGGAGAAGAAGGGAAAGGGAATGGTGCAGGCTGCTCCCCAGAGGGAGAGTGCTCTAGCTGGGTCCTTCCTCTTGAGGCTTTTATCTCTCTCTTGCAGGTGGGAATCTTAGGGGAGTCTCAGGGGAGGCTCCAGTAGACTATTCGTCAGTTCTCCAGGTGTGTCCTTTCAGGGTCATGGTCTCCACTGATTGGTCAATGACATGGCAGGGGGTCATTGCAGTTGGTCCTGGCATCACCCCCACCCAGTTTTTGCTGTTTTTCTGGGCCTGGAGCTGAAATACAACTGAAGCCTAGCTGTTATCTCCAGGAAGGAAAAGCCAGGAGAGAAGAGGTTACTCTTGGGGCAAGGTCCTTGTTTCCCCAGTTTTGCCTTGTGCCAGGCACTTGGGCTCCCCCGGTGGCAATCTGCACCTGTCTGTAAATCGCTCGGCCATTGTGTTCAGCTCTCTGTCTCAGTTTCTCTATTCAATTTGCCAGAGAATTTTCCTAGCTTCTCACTATCCTGTCTCACTGGTACATCTTGATGTAGCTGTCTCCTGCATCCACCACCATGAGCTGTCCCTGGGGCACACAGGTCATGCACAAGGACTGCCCCAGCCCCTCAAACACCAAGCAGATGGGTGCCCCAGCCCGGGGAAACAGGGTCAACTTGGCACTGCTGCTTGCCTGTCACAATAACACTACCCTCTGTATCAGTGCATACACAGGCTGGGCTGCCAAAGGCATGCCTTGTCAGGCCCCCCAGGAAGCCCAGGGGTGGCAGCCACTGCTGAACAGCTGAACATCCCCAAATTCTTCACTCACAGGAAAGCCCCCATTGGGCCCCAGGCCCACCCAGCAGGGGCCCTCCAGACCCAGCATGGAGGCTGGGGCCAGCAGCTCCAACGCAGGCCTGATGTGAAGCTGTGTACAGGCATATAGTCTGTTACCAGGAAGCAGCCAACAGCATCCACAGTCAGCCCCTAAGGGGCCAGGAAAGTGTCCCCTGCCACCCAGTGGCCTTGGGGGCTTGGGAAGTGTGCTGTGCTGGAGTGCATGGACAGCCCTGTGGACAAGGTCACCGACCACCATGAGCCTAGTAGCTGTCACAGCTATATCCTCTAGCGGGACGTCCCTGACCCCCGGAACCTGGCAGGGTAAGCGGCAGAGAGTCTCTCAAGGTCCAGTACATAGATGCAGGGAGCAGACCCAGCTGTCAGGAAGGACAGGCCATCTGGGGAGTAGTGCAGACCCCGGGACGGGGGGCACCCATCCAGCCTCTGAAGGCACCGAGACCTGCCTGAGCATCCAGGAGTGAGTGGAGCCTCCAGGTTGGTCCAGAATGAGGTGAAGGCCCTGGGGGCAGCTGACCAGCTGGCGGGGAAGGCCGAGGAGGTCAGAGCAGGAAGCCAGAGGATGAGGGATGCTGGCTCAGCCTCTCTGAGGTAAGTTGCTATGGTTGAGTCAAGTTTGGGGCTGCTAGAGAAAGAGTGCCCCACTGTGTGCCAAGCAGCAGCTACCTCGGTTCCCCTGTGCACACCCAGGCAAGTGCTGGTGTTCTCCTGTTTTACAGATGAGGCAACTGAGGCACAATTGAGGGGTGGGAAGTGGAGGAGCTAGATTCAAACTCAGTCCCACCAGGTCCTGAGTCCAGCTCAGCCTGCAAACCCAGCAGCTAGCTGTGTCTCTAAGTCCTGTTTTCCCAGGTGTGGTACCTGGAATACAATTCTGGGAAACGTGGACCCATGAAGGTCACTGTGGGTTTTCCTCTGATGCCTGTAAGAGCTCAAGGGCATTGAGGTGTCCCAAAGTGGGGGCTGGGATGATGGATGAACAGTTTCGCAAATTCATCTGCCCACAAAACCCTTCCTCCCCTTAGGCAGGGAAAGCGACCCTTATTGTGGGACAGCCCAAGCCCTTGCCCATTGTCCTCACGCAGTCCCCAGAGACTTCCAGTCCCTGAGGGATGAGGCAGGGGTCCTGTCCTAGGCCTCTCCACCTGCCCTTACCCAGGGAGGCCAGCGGGAAAGGTCTCCTCCTACCTGGGGCCAGGTCCTGGGCCCTGCTCCACCAGCGGTTACTAGAGCCTGAGGGAGTGGGAGGGCCCGCCTTGACATGGGCAAAGGAAGAGCCGCTGGACGCTGTGCAGTCCTGACACTCCAACCCCAGGGACTCCCCAGTGCTGCTACATTCCTGCCTTGTGGCCTTTGCACTGGCCTCTGGGACATTCTTTCTGCTGCCCCTGCTTGGTTGGATGCCACTCTTGGTCAGCCCAACAAACCCCTCCCCAGGGAGGCCCCCCCAGCCGTCCACACCCCATACCCCACACCCCTCTGCAATGTCAGTCATGGGCAGCCCCACCTACCATCCCCCAGCGGGGCCGGAGTCCAGGCCGGAGGACCGCTGGGGGGCCATCTTTTCCCCCCACCCCCAGACTGGGCAGGTCGGACCCTATCTTCCTGATCCCATTTCTGCACCTGTGAAGCTGGGGTGATCTCCCCCAACAGGGCCAGGCTCACATCTACCCTGGGGGTGATGAGAAATCAAGGACACCATGCCGGCAGGTGCCGATGGGACGCTGAGGGCTCAGGACTTCCTAACTCAGCCCACAGTCCCCTGCAGCTCCTCCAGGAAGCCCCTAGCAGGTGAAGGGTCAACCTTGGCCTGTGATTCACAGCTTTCCCCACCTGGCTGGCCTGCACCCCCCTCTCTGGACACTGGCTCTTAACGCCCCTTGGTGGGGAGGGCAGCCGATGCTATCTGCTGCCCGGTGCAGTTAATGGGGCAGCCACAGGTCCTGCTCCGACTGGCCCAAGCCCGGTTGGCCCAGCTTGGGGAGCCAGGCACAGGCAGGAACTGCATTCCCTGGGGCCATTCCTTGAGTGGGCACGGAGGTGTGGCCAACTCACAGGGAAAAAGTGATTAGCTGGGTCCAAGGGTCCCCTGGGAACCCCTTCTACCTGCCCCCCACCCCTGCCTGTGGGAAAGGCCAAGTCCGGCCCAGCTCTGCTGGGAGGGAGGCAGCGAGCTGTGAAGGCCACCCGATGCCTATCATGGCTGCAGGGGCTGGCAGGGACCCAGTGGAGGCCATGCTGGGCAAGCAGCCCTGGGCCACAGAATGTGGGGGGCACTTTTTAACCACTGTGGGAGCAGCCTCCAGCATGCATCTCGCATTCGGGCTGTCCTGCCAGACACAAGGGCTGGAGGCGTGCCTGGGGGGCCTGCCCACCACCGAGGCGCTGGAACACGCCTGACCGGCCCCCGGGCCACACACACCTGCCTTTCCCTGCTCTGCACCCTCTGATGGGAAGCCCCCGACTCTATCCCCAGATTGTGCCACCTCCCAGGGAGGGGCCAGTCTACAGGAGGCAGATCAGGACCTGAAGGTGGACCCCTGGCAGGGAGGCCCACGACACTGCGCACCCCGGATGCCCAGGCCGGAGGCGTTTCCGCCGGGAGGTGTTCTGGTGGTGACAGTGGAGCAGCAAAGGAAAGAGGAGGCTCAGACAGGGCATGTGAAGGTGGTTTCTATTTTAATGTCCATAACTGTGATCAATAAAAAGCCATGATTCTCTGCTGTCCCTGTGTGACCCCAGAGACAGGCCGCGGCTGTGGTGGGTGGGGTCAGTGCTTGGGCATGCTGGGCAGGCTCCAGGCCTCACCCCGGGGGCTGAGGCAGGCAGAGGGCCAGGTGGTGGGCATGGGGTTGGGAAAGGGGCTGTAGTTAGACCTCGGTGCCTGGGGAACTCTGTAGGCCAGAGACAGCCTCCGTCGGCCAGGAGCCCCCAGCCCTGCCACGGGGACCCCAGCTGCTGCCAGGAATGACAGGGTCATCTGGGGCTTGGAGGGGGAGCCCCGGGGGTGGGACACTGGAGTCGGCCTCACACTTGGTGGTATGGCCAGAGAAGGGCTCAGCTGCTGTGGGGCCCAGCATCCTGGGTGGCTCGGGGGTCCCCTGGACCAGGATGGAACCCAGCTCTGATTGCCCCCAGGTCCCCGAGGTCACCTCGGGTAACTTGGAGGAGGTCCGTTTCACAGAGAGGTCAAGGGGCACGTCTGGGGGCCGCACGGCCTGCTCTAGCACCTGGTGGATGGTGAGCAGCTCCCGGCGGATCTTGCCCAGCTGTTCCCGAAGAGGCCGTGGAGCCAGGCCCCTGGCAGGTGCCAACTGCCCCAGGCGCTGCTCCACCCTAGCATAGTCACCGAGGGCTCGTGTCAGGTCCTCGCACACATGCCCAGGGACCCCCAGCATCAGGCCCGATGGCTGCTGGGGCAGGGGGGAAACAGGGCCCAGGGTCTCAGGGTCGCCTGGCTCCTTGTCCTCAGGCCAGAGAATCACGGAGGGGCCAGTCCGCAGGCTAGGGAGTAGGAGCCAGTCAGAAGGCTGTACTGTGCCCCCAGCACCCCAGCCTCTTCCCCCCCAACCCCCGCCTTGTGCCCCAGCGCAGGCTGTGTCCCTGGCCTAAAGACTCGGAACCCCAGCAGGACAAGCAGGCTGGCTTTCTGGTCTCAGTAACCTCTCTGTGGCCTGAAGCCTATAATCCTGGACACTGAGCTGAGGACAGGGGCCCAGCCCTCCTCCCCCAACCTCAACCACCCCCCCACATGACTGGGGGACCCTGACACCTACCTGCTCTGGGAACCAAAGCTGGCCATGCTGGAGGGGGCCTTCGGGGGCTCCAGCCTGCTTCCCAGGGGCAGCTTCCTCTTGGGGTCACTCTGGGCAGCAAGCTCCAGCCCACCCTCCTGCCCTGGGTCCCTGGGGGCACCACAGAGCCAGGGCCCAACCAGCCCAGGTACTGGCACTTTCAGCAGCCCCGGGGCCAGAGTTCCAGGGGGTCCCTTGGGAGGGGCAGGGGGCTTGGCAGGGGCAGCCTTGCCTGGCTGCAGCCCCAGGCTATGCTCCAGGAGCAGAGGGTAGTACAGGTGCGGGATAGGGGTGGGGTGCTCGGGGGGCTGCAGCGCAGGGAAGGCAGAGGCTGGGGGAAGCAGGGGACCGGCTGAGCCCAGGAAGGGCATATGGGCTGCAGCGGCCAGGGAGGGACCCAGGTAGGAGAAGAGGCTGGGGCCCAGAGGGTAGTTGACCCCTAGCAGGGACAGCTGGAGGCTCTGGGCCTCAGGGAACTCGCTGGAGGTGGGCGGAGGGTAGCAGGGCGCGCTGCTCTCAGGGCCCACGGCAGATGAGTCCACCATAACCGTGCTCCTGGGGCCCCTGCCTGGCCTCGGCTTCCACGACTCAGCCAGGAGCCCACCAAGGCCTGTACCCTTCTGGGCATCCTTGGCCACAGGGGGTGGCATCTCTGGGGACCCCTCCGCCTCTGGCTTGGGGCCCCCAACACGGCAGTGCTGGGAGAGTGTGTCGGTGACAATGAGGTCGGGCGTGACAGGATTATCCGGGAGCTGAGCTCCTCGGGGAGGCCGGCCAGGGTCTGTGGGGTCGGGGGGGCAGTCTGTGGTGGGTCCCAGGGGCCGGGGTGTGGTCGGGGCCCGGCGGCATGCCCAGTCTGGAGAGTCGAGCAGCAGCGAGAGGGAGTCCTTGCAGAGGCTGTACTTCATGTGGTTGTACAAGTGCGACTTCTCCAGGCAGGTAAATGGGCACTGGAAGCACTTGTAATTGTAGGGCTTGCCCCAGGGCCGAGGGATGTAGTGTGGCTTCTTGGGCTTCCGTGCCCGGGCCCGGGCCCCAGAGCCCAGGCGGCATGAGCCTCCCACCTCTCGGGACATGGCAGCCTGCTAGCGGACAGGCCACGGCACCATGGCCACCTGCAGACAAGGGGACCTTGGTCAGTGCCTCTGTCAGCTCCCAGAGCTCCAGGAGTAGAAGCCTGGCACAGCACCGCCTCCACCCTGCAGCCTGGGCCTCCCTGGACTTCGCACAGGCA